GGGGGGGGGCAGAGACAGATGAGTTCAACAATTTTAAGAGTTGGGTACATTTTTGCTTTTTTTTCTCCATTTAATGAAACAAATTTTCATCCCTGGAAATTATTTTCACTCTGTTTGGAGTGTGGACATCAGTTTTCAGTCAAACTGCGCGGGCCGTACAGATTAACAGATTAACTGAGGAGTCATTTATAAACTTCATGTGGGCCACCAGACGAGTCACTGTGCTCCATGAGCTGAAATAAACCAAAGCAGCAGCTTTTAAAAAGTCCAGGCTCATCAGCTGACTCACATCAGTTTTGGGAGGCGACAGACAGAACTGGATCAGGCCGATCTTGGCCTTCTCGACCCGGGTCACGCCGGTGTTGGCCACCTTCTGGGTTAGCACCAACCCGTCCACCAGCTCACAGTCGTCAATGGTCCCTCTGAGAACAAAACACAACCTTCTAAATATAAACTTGATAAAATCTCCACGGAGACATAAAGACAATAAAACTAGACACCCACCCGAGCTTCTTGATGATTTTGATGTCCTGCAGGTCCACGCCGGTGGCCGTAGCCGGGTCGATGACTCGCATGACGGCATCGACGCTCATGGGTGCCAGCAGGCTGGAGTACTGCGACACCACCTTGGAGCACAGGGAGGTGGTGGCGCTGTTCAGGAGCGTCTCACGGTCACTCAGCTCCACCGGCCGGCTCATGGCTGTCAGCACCTCCACACCCTTGTCCACGGCCTTCTGGAAGGACTCGGAGATGATGGTGGGATGGATACCTGTCCAACCAGAGAGCACAGTGTCAACCCTGCTGCTACACTCCGGCCCAGTCCCTCCCCCAGTTTGTCTGACCTTTCTGCAGCAGCTTGGAGCAGGCATCAAGCAGCGCTCCAGCAATCACCACCACAGAGGTGGTGCCATCGCCAGCTTCAATGTCCTGGGCTTTGGACAGTTCCACCAGCTGACACGAGCAGTAAGTCCACATTAACTCATGAAGGCTTCAACAATGTGTCAAGTTTAAGTAGAAGACATTACCATTTTGGCAGCAGGGTGGAGCACCTGCATCTGCTTCAAGATGGTGGCTCCATCATTGGTAATAGTTACATCACCTTTCTCATCCTGGATCTGAAACACCCAGAGGGTTCCACCTGGTTACTCAAATCTTCAAGACTGAAGTGCAAGCTCAGTGTAAAGTTGGACATCTGTCCTCTCACCATCTTGTCCATTCCTTTGGGTCCCAGACTTGTTCTGATGGCATCTGCAACCGCTGCCAAACAAAGCAGGACGAAGAGCAGCTGCATTACAGAGAAATGCTTCAAAACACACCAAACCTACGCAACGAGTTTATTGAAAACATGGATTTGGATACTGGTTTGAAGGTGTTTATTGAAAACATGGATTTGTGTACTGGTTTGAAGGTGTTTATTGAAAACATGGATTTGGATACTGGTTTGAAGGAGTTTATTGAAAACATGGATTTGTGTACTGGTTTGAAGGTGTTTATTGAAAACATGGATTTGTGTACTGGTTTGAAGGCTGCAACAACTACGCTGGACCATGTGACATCAGCCACGACGTGTCAGCAGAGCTGGGACAAGACCTCACAGAACAAAGACCGTCTGGTTAAATTATCACGGCCGCTCCTTTACGTCATTCGTGTGGCAGGCGTTAAGACAAGTGGTGTCGAGAAGCTTCCTCTGCAGCTACGTGCTGAGGGGAAGAGTCTCTGTTCTACATTTGTTTAGATTGAACAGATTTACTGCTGGAAACAGTTTTGAACTTGTTAATCCGTCTCGTTTGAGAGAGCGGAGTTAAAATGCGAGTCGAGTCCCTCCATCTTTGTCGTCCAAGCACAATGTGAATTTATCCATGCTCCTCAGAGCGAGGAACATTTCTCTGATCAAAAATGAAGGAGTTTCACTGCGATCAGTCCCGAGTCTGCCTCCATTTACTTCATCTTCAAGAACTCAGCTGAACTTTCTGGAGACGCTCAATGTCCATTGAGTTTCAGCCGTTTTGACCAAACGTTTCCTTTAAACCAGCAAGAAGAGACATAAATGTTAAGAAAACGTTTCCAACGAACCGTTTGTTCCGACACGCGTTCTGTTAGTTTTAATGTTGGCACCTCGGTGAAACTGGGCCTCCTGAGGTCTGAAGTGATGGAGCATTAGGTGCCAGTTTATAAATCTGTTTTATGAGTTGATCACTGTAGCTCTAGTTGATTACAATGGATCTGTTCAGTCCAAATGTAAAAACGGTTTCCTCACAACATGTCTGGAGTTTACAGATGGAAGAACTGGTCTCAAGCACCTACACACAATCTGTCCCAATACAGAGACAGCTGGTCCTGAAGACTCAGGATCAACATCTGCACCAAACTCCTGTCAGGTCCAGTGATGTTTACAACACAGTATAATCTGGTTTAATCCCTTGTGGACTCATCATCCTTGAACACGTTGCGGACCTGCCTGCTCAGCTCTGAATGACAGATGCCCAGTCCCAACGCCCCCAGTCATTAGCTTTAAACTGGGCTGACTGGGACTCTGGGCCTGCGGTACCTACACTTTAAACTGGGCTGACTGGGACTCTGGGCCTGCGGTACCTACACTTTAAACTGGGCTGACTGGGACTCTGGGCCTGCGGTACCTACACTTTAAACTGGGCTGACTGGGACTCTGGACCTGCGGTACCTACACCCGTCGGTATGTTAGCCTACCTTTGGCAGCAGATATATTGCTGAAGCGGATCTGGGCCGGCTTGTCGCGGTCCACATACGCCCCTCCTTTGTTTTTGCCTCCGCTTAAGGTTTTCGGTCCCGCCATGACTTGTTGCCTTTAAATATGACGGGAAGTGTTACGGGGAGTCGTCGGAGCGGGACTGATGGGCCCCCGGGGCTGAAACAGCGTGGCTTGGCCTCGGATGGACTTGGATGCAGGTGGCTTCTCCGGGTTCCCTGTTCGAACCTTCCAGAACACCGGCTGCTGCAGAGGAAAGAAGGACCCGGGCGGACGCAGAGAGATGACGCCATCAGGCAGTACAAGTAAATTGCCTAGTAAAAAAATAAAATAATAATTTAAAAAAAGTAACCAACGATATTTTCAAATTGTATCATTAGATTTATTTTTTAATCATATTAATGTGCTCAAGTAACAACATAAACAAAAACTATTATATATTTTGCTGCAAAGGCTTGCGCACTATGCTCATCTGGGGTCGATTAGTTTGGTCTGCGAGGCTGACAGAGCGCCTCCGATGATTCGTGTTGAGTTTGTAATTTAATTTTTGCAACGTAAACCCCTTAAGAAGGTAGGTTAACTAATATATTTACTATGAACACACTTTACTGGTTGTGTTTCAACATGTAAATGTGAAAGCCTGTTGTTGGCTGTCTGTAGCTCATCAGTCTGACAATGATCGTCATGGTAGCTCTACATTAAGTTCAAACCGCATGTCTGTCCTGCAGCTGTCTGCTCAAGACACTGGTCTTAGTGGAAAAATGACCCGGGACTGGTTCAGAAATGTACTTCAAAAGGGAATTGAATACAAAGTAATTTAATTTCACCCAGGTGTTTATTAATGCTAACTTTGATTAGTAGGGCTTACAGCTCATAACATTCAGTTCCTCATAAAATTAGTTTAGAAAAGATTTGTGGACCGGGTCAGAGCCAGATCCAGGACCTGGCTCCAACTGTCTCATTCCTTGTGTCGAAGCAGTCCTGAACCAGAAACAATGGTCTTACCTGGGGTCACCATCGAGGAGGGGTCCATGTAGGAAACTGTGATGTCCCTGTCACAGCGACACTCCAGCTCCTCCTGGGGGTCCCAGGGTGCTCCCGGGACACTC